GATATGATATGGGAATCGCACAATCAACCCAATTGTGCGATTATGATTATTATGGGACATGTTATACGAATCGCGTAATCAACCCAGTTTCACTAATTTTTGTTAGTCAATCGTGTGCAGGTCACAACTTAGGGCACCAACACAGTATATTTACCGTTAAAAGTATTGTTTTGGTTAAATTGGTTTACAATTAAAAACTCCATTTTCATCTTAATTGTCATGGATTGGGTGTAATGGACAAGATGACGATTTGTGACCTGTTTCTTTACATGTACGACATCTTCTCGGGCGTCTTGGATGAGGAGTTGGCGCGTATTGACCTTCTTCATTTGAAAAAAAGTCATTATCATCATCGTATAGAGGGCACTTCGCCCTGTTATGCCCGGTGACCCCGCACCGTGAGCACATCTGCTGACGTCGTACTCGACGTGATGATCCTTCTCCATTGGAATCACGTTGAGTCCGTGGCCAACCTGCTTGTTTGGGATCATTTGGTGGAATTACCTTTTTACGCAAAATTTTCGGGGGCAAGTGCCATTCATCTGGATGCGGGACGGGGCTAACAGTGCTTTGGTTTATCCTTGCAACTGAGTAGGTTTTGTAATGGTCATTAACGAAATCCATTATATCTAACCCGGCTTTCCTGTTACATATCGTAAATGCACATCATATTAGAATATAACAATTTTTTTTTAAAAGAAAAAAGCGATAATGTTGTTTGGTGACCATTACCGAATAGCCGTAGATGCATGTAAGCAAGGTAGTAGATCTGTTTCAAACACACGACAATCACATGTTTTTGCCTCTAAATTTACCACGTAGGATCGTGTTTCTTCCATAACCCTATAACGTTGCATGCCGAGTGTGGTAATGGATAGAGTACGACCTTTCTCGAGCAAAGGATCCAACCGCAATTGAGTCCACTGCGTTAGCGGATTATTGCGACCCTCGGCAGATGCACGCCGAACAACAAACTATTTCTCTATCGTTGCACGAACACACTCCAACAACGAGAAAACGGGTAACATCCTGGCCCAACGGAGTTTGTTGTTCAAACTTTTGCATGAATTGGATGTCATGAATCCATAGCGCCGTACAAGTGTAATACACCTCGCCCATTTGTTAGCTTTTTAAATGCTTCGGGTTTTAGGCTTTGGATGAATGACAAGTAACGATAGAAGTTTTTACGCCGATAACAATATACCGCCTTGTAAAATATGTCCAAGATAGATTTCCCAAAATGCCTCATTTGTTTTGTGATGTGATAATAGGAAAATGAATGATGCGCCTTAGAGAACACTATTGGGACAGAATATATGATAGACTCATGTCTATCCGATAAAATGAGAAGGTTATCAGGACAAACATAGGCCCTTTTCAATTGAGTCAAAAACCAACTCCAAGTCTCACGATGCTCTACATCACCAATGCTAACTGCGAGAGGAAAGATTTGGTGATTCCCGTCCAATGTGGCCGCAACAAACATAATGACCTTGTATTTTCCCTTCAAGTGGGTACCATCTATCACAATCACCGGGACACCAGCTCGTTCAAAGCCCTCAATGCTAGCTCCTAGAGCAAAGAACAAGTGTTGGAATACCTCGCAATCTCGTTGCAGTTCGACAATTATACCTGGATTACAAACCTGAAACATGTGCAAGTAACCGGGAAGCCGCCCACATGATTCTTCATGACCTCCATAAACTTTTTCAAAAGCACGGTGTCTTGCTCGGAGGGACACATTGTAGCTGATCGACAAACCATGCTACTCCCGCATTTGTTCAATAATTCTCCGTGTAGATACCGTCTGGGGATTTGTCTGAATAGTTGGTGCGTAAATATGAGCGAGAACCTTGGAATTAGCCGAACGGTGTCGATTGTGCGTCAAACTCCCTTCGCATGTATGCTCGAGTTTTAAAGTAGTGATTCTCCATACATCTTGCTTTTCCCTTGCACATAACTTGTATGAACACCCTTCATACCGACAAGTAGATTGTAACCTAGAAGTGCAGGATTTGGGTGTTCGACACTCAAATTTTTGTTGCAAGTGATACAGTTGGATGCACAAATCAACTCTTCTTTCGAAAGAAAGACATACCCCAAAGATAATTCTATATTGTTCGAGGGTAAGTCGATGGGTTGTCTATCTAACCTAGTTGTCGTGGGCGGCATAGGAAGGGACCACATTCGTGGCTCAATATCGAATTGCCGGGTGCTACCTCGATTCATATATGCAAGACTTTGAACCTCAATATGGTCGGTGATTAATCTTAGCTCTTCAATATACTCGCTATACCATGCCTTAAAAAGCTTGAACATTTGCTTCTCATGGACTTCTTTGTATTCGTCGTCTGAGTCACCATTGTGCGTGTTGGTTTGGTCATCATTATTTTCTTCGTCACGAGAATGACCTTGTTGGTTCAAACAATCCGCGGTTTGATCATCAGCGCCCCGAGGATATCCAGTATGTGTAAATGAACTAGAGCCTGCTTGATGTGAATATGGGGCCTCATGGGAAAATGCAGAACTACCAACACCAAAGAACTCGGAAATACACCTTGGGACGCCATCATTTGAGTGAAGCTTTGTTGCGTCGTTTCCGGAATCCCTACATTTACTCGCTTTTCCAACTCCACGTAAATGTTGGGAGTTTTTTGTTCTTCAATCAGCTCTAAGATATCCTCACTGGATTCGATTTTCATCTTCACAACTCGTTCTCTTCCATCAAATACTGCCCACAATATGTACTCAAAATTACAAGGATCGACCTTCAATAATGCTTGAACACAAGAAACTACTTCAGAATACATTTGTAGGCCGTAATTTATTCTCATCAGCTCTGCCACTCCACCAAGATATGAACCCCCGGAAAACGTACCACTGTAGCTCACGCATACTCTAACACGGGTGCTAGCCATTCAAATAAGTGAACAACAAAAGGAATTAAAACGAAAGAAACAGAAAATTGCAGTAGAGAAGAATGGTGCAGACGTTGAATTGTTAGAGATCACTGTTTTTTTGCCTGCATGATAAATGCACAGACAAAATCCCCACCTGTGAAAAAGCAGTCAATTAATGAGGTGCGTAACTTATGCGACAGATATGCGATCAAATTCCGAATAGTCGTAAAATTGCCATGATGATATGGCCCTGCGAAAAAATGGCGCGTAATCGTCAATTAAATTATGCTTTATTCGATTTTGTTATGCGATTCTTCAATATGCGAGCGAAAAAATGTCGCATAATTGTCAATTATCCGGCGGATATATGCGAAAGTTTTTCGCATACTAGTAAATTATGCGATTGACTTAGACATGCAATTTCCAGAAAATGCGAATTCAACAAATAATGCGAAAAGTTTTCGCACAGTCATAAATTTGCAAGGTCGATATAGCCCTACGAAATAAGGCGCACAATCATCGTAAATTATGCTGCATTCGATTTTGATATGCGATTCTTAAAACTGCGAAAGATGTTCGCATATTTGTAAATTATGCGTTTGATGTGGATATGCGATTACAAAAATGCGAAATGTTTTCGCAAAGTCATAAATTATGCGTTCGGTTGGATATACGCTGGTTCATTTGGACATGCGAGTGTAATATCGCATAGCATTTCGTGAGTTTTGGGGTGTAAAAGAAGTTATTTGACGGGGTGGTGTGTAAAAGAAAGAATAGATTTATAACGGGGTGAAAAAGATTTTCACCCAATATAATTTATGACCTTACAAAACTCTTAGACTGCGTCGAAGGACGAACTCAAAAAATATGAAGTACGTTTACAGACAAAACAAACAAACGTTTAGTGTAGAACTCAAAAGTGATACGGTCCCTTCATTCACGAACACTCGATTAAGCTTAAGACTTGAATGTGTGTCTATCTAAACTGCTTAATCATTTTATCACATCTTACTGGTTGATTTTAATTAATTATATTTAAAAATTATTTCAAACATAATCACGTGCATTGACCAATGACTTTATCAATTCAATATTGAGAAAACGATGTGTTCTCTCGAACTCTATTTGAGGAATAAAACATATCTTGGCTCAATTGTCAATTCCATGTATATCATGATCTACATAACACAAGTCTCTATCTAAGGACCGTAAGCGTGGGACTAGGTTTAAGCAAATCACTCTATACATGAATTGTATATTGACTTCAAGTCAATAGACTATTACATCATTCAACACAGTGATACTCTCACAGGCACATAAACAAATAGTTTATAAGTAGGGTATACTAATACTCTCCAAAGTATTCATGTGTCCATCACGAATAACAATTATTATATTAGTGAGACATACTATATTTTTAAAAAATATTGATATTATATTAGCTTCCTCGATTTTAAAAAATAGCAAGAAGCAATTCGTACTTCTACAGTGTTGCATCCAAAGGTCGTGCCCCAATAATTTGACTATCAAAGTATTGAGCGAATGTTTTAAGAGGAGAAATCAAGAGTCATAAGCATACCATTCTTTATTGTCACCAAAAAATGTGTTAGACCTCCCACATTTAAATAATCTTCAGATTAGAGACAAAATCCTATCAATGCGCATCTAAATTTCTATGAAAATATTAAACACATCTCATTTCGTACACTAAGAGCACCCACAATGCTTTGGGTCCAATCTTATATATGTGGCATATAATTAGACTTAAGTTCTAATGACATAGATAAACCCAAGTAAAATAAATCCAAAAACTTTCTAATGGAAAAATAAAAGACTAGGTCTAGAATAAATGTCAACCAATTAAAACAAGCATAAACAAAAAATTATAAATAATTGCTAACTAGTCAGGTTTGTACTTGAGTCTAAAATAGACCAAGGATAAGCTAAGCTCCAGCTCGAGTTCAACAACTCACAAACATGAGATGTACAAATTTATGTCATTTGAGTACACCAATGGTCTATGCTACAAATCTCAAGGGGATCATATAATCATCTGTGCAGAGATGTATAATAATGCGAAAGCAATAAATATTCTAAACTTCACAAAACAGAATCGACTTCTTGAGAAGCAGGAGCTGTGTACTTGATGATGGCTTCGAGTATTCGCTCTTTATCTCTGGTCGGGAATGCTTCCAACAAGAACCCATTTTTGTAAAAATGGAAAAGCGGAACAGTCTGCATCAAATTACTTGACTTTCAGACCACTTCTATTGAAGCTTTAAAGGAAAATTCTAACTTCTACAGGTACCTCGTGAATTTGGAGAGAAAAAGCTGTTCCAGAAGGTATTATCAAAAGAGAGAAGAAAAAATGAATTGTACAAAAATGAGCAGTCGAAGCACATGGTATATATAAGATGCATATATTTGTTTCCACTTCACTTCCACGAAATCCAACTAGCTTCCATAATGGATAAATTTCAGTCTAATGGTTATGTTAATCTCGGTTTCCATTTTGTTCAGCATAAAAGATCGTGCCGGGTACGTAATCCATATCCACAGACTGCTATCTTAGACAATTCTGAAGGAACAAAAAATGATTTGCAACCAAATCGCCAGTAGAGAAAATAATAATAAAAGTCATTATTACCCTAATTCGAAGCCTTTCAGCAACCTCAGACTGTTCATCATATTCATCAAGGACCTGTAGTGTTCACAAAAATGATAATGAACAAACTACATAGAACTGTGAATCAAAACCCATTAAAAAATAAAGATGACTAAGTTTAAAAAANNNNAAAAAAAAAAAAAAAAAAAAAAAAAAAAAAAAAAAAAAAACTTGAATTATAATAAGATGTAAATTAAATTTTCACATAATATGAAATAACATTTCCAACATATACTCACATTGTGTTTTAGAAAAATAACTGGAGCTTTTTGGTCACCAGCGCCTTTGCATAGTTTCACAAAACCTTGCTCTATATACCGACAGCTCCCACACGAAGTTCGATAAAAATCCACAACAACTAATACATTCGTTTCTTTTGCTTTCTCCAAAATCCCCAAAAATTCATCATCCGTCTTGAACTCTCTTACACACTCAATTGGACAAAGCTCATCATCTTCATCAAATAATTCTTGGACATTTTGATCTTTTGTACTTTTGATTTTTATAGCACTTTTAGTTCGACATTGAATAGTTGTCTTTAATTGGCTCGAGTTTACAATAATTCTAACTGAAAATAAATTTTTAAATGATGTGGGATTCTCAAAATGAATCAGTACATTGTTTTTCCACACAAAGTTTCGGAACCATGTCTGATGAAAAACACTTGACATCTGCACTATAAAGCCAAACACAAAAGCGATGCCCAACTCTGCACAAGGTTGTATACTGATTTTTTTTCAAGAAGATGTTGACAAAATTTTCCGAGTCCAGTAAAGCCTCTATTCTATGTTGTATGACTAGAAGTCACAAACCTCTTCACCATATCACCTTAGCAATGTTATCCATAAAGCATAAAGGGCCATTCAGAGAACTAATAAAATATTCCACGATTTCAGTAAGTAATCTGTCCATTGAAACAAAATGCACACATCAATATACAATACATCAAAAGGCATTCAAATGAAGGCTCAAGCCAATACATATCCTGTAAATTGATAACCAACACATTTAAAGCTCAACTCTATTACACTAACCTGAGGGAACTTCAGAAGAAAAATCTTAAAAGTTTGACTATAAGTTGTAAGTTTTAATTGAAACAAACTGTCTCATTTTCAATATATTAGCATAATCTCTTTTGTTCATATCCAGAACTACTCTGAACACATACCTGTGAAGACAAAACAGGAAGAAGTTCACATTGTAACGAGTTTGAAAATTCAATCAGAACATAAGTATGTTCCTCTACTATTCGAAAAAGTTCTTAGTGAGGTACATCTGATGGGCTAGTGTAAATTAATCTAGGGCTATGCTATCACTATATTATCGAATAACATCTTGTACTTCTAGTATCAGTGATACATTGCAATTTGCTCCATTTTATGTAACCCACAGTTACAATAGTTATGTGTTTGACAAAAGTAGTTTTGTATGAAACAAGCTGTTTAAAACCAAAATATGGCAGCTGGACATTGAATAAGAAAAAGCTTGGAGGAAAAACTGTTAAATGCTTTATATTGTGCAATAGCCAAATCCAAATGAAGGATCTAAAGTACCCGACGGCGCGCGTATCAAGTATGATTATATGAAGCACTATCAGAAGCTTCCTAGGTGTGCAAAATAATTACTACATTGTATTTGATTCAGGTGCACAAAAATATGCCACAAAAAACTTGGCTGAAGTAGTAAAGATAATTTCCACAAACTGAACAGATTAATTAAACAATAATCGTGTGTAATCACACGAGTCTACAAATGCAAGAAGCAGATTTCTAACTGCAAATCAAACGGAATAGGGAAGGAATTAAACAGGAAGCAAAGGAATAATAAACAAAATAATACAGATTATAATGAGATCAGCGCCGGAACGACGAGATAGCTAGAGATTAAGGAAAGAGTTGCTTACTTTGGTTGCCTTCAGATATGTTTTGGATAACAAAAGTAACACGAGTGGCCATTGTTATTCGTCAAGGAACAAAGTTGGAAGCTTTTAACAGTGTACTTTTAGGGGATGTATTTTGAACTCGAGACTTTTTAACACTTTCAAAATATTTAATTAGAACTTGGGTTAATTGCCAAAAAAATCATAACTTTTCCTTGAATTGCAAAATAATCAACCTTTTCAATTTTGTAAATAAATCTCAACATTTATTAGTTATTGTAATTTTGTCTCAAAACTGAATTCCGGCCATCCGCCGCCGCCCGTCTCCGGCCAACCTCGCCGGAATTGAATTTTTTTTACGTCATCGTGTAGCTCTCCTTCCGGGCAACAACATATCCGAAGTTCGTGTAAAAATTACGACAATAAGGGGTCCAATTTCTCAGTCAATAGATGGCCGGAAAACTCGTCGCCGGAAAAAGTCACTGTTTCCGGCGATGGTGAATGTCAATAGAAGCAGCTCGGCGAGAGGAGTTCAACGGTACCTTTGGATTCGTGTGGGTCAAAGCGAGTCGCCGAAAATTTGCGAAAGAACGGTGGATAAAATTTGTAGATCTACTTGCTTTTACCGAGAAATTGGACCCCTTATTGTCGTAATTTTTACACGAACTTCGGATATGTTGTTGTTCGGAAGGAGAGCCACACGATGATGTAAAAAATTTCAATTCCGGCGAGGTTGGCCAGAGACAGGCGGCGGCCGGTGGCGGCGGATGGTCGGAATTCAATTTTGAGACAAAATTGCAATAATTAATAAAGGTTGAGATTTAATTGTAAAATTAAAAAAGTTGAGATTAATTTGCAAGTTAACGAAAAATTGTGATTTTTTTGGCAATTAACCCTTAGAACTTTTAGAGACTTCTCAAAATTTTATCTGTATTCAATTGAGACTTTTAAAGATTTTTATTAAGTTTCTATAAGTCTCAGGTGTTCAATTAAAACTTTCTTAGAGTATCTATAAGTCACCCGTTATTCAAAAAAAAAAA